GTATCCGTTAACTTGTACACAAAGTATCCGTTAACTTGTACACAAAGTATCCGTTAACTTGTACACAAAGTATCCGTTAACCTGTACACAAAGTATCCGTTAACTTGTAGACAAAGTATCCATTAACTTTTACACAAAGTATCCGTTAACTTGTAGACAAAGTATCCATTAACTTTTACACAAAGTAACCGTTAACCTGTACACAAAGTAACCGTTAACCTGTACACAAAGTATCCGTTAACCTGTACACTAATTATCCATTAACCTGTACACAAAGTATCCGTTAACCTGTACACAAAGTAACCGTTAACCTGTACACAAAGTATCCGTTAACCTGTACACAAAGTATCCGTTAACCTGTACACAAAGTAACCGTTAACTACGTTTTCTTTACATGTAAAAGTAGCTTAGAAACTCAGACTTTACCGAGAATGTAAGATGTTTCATAGCATAGAAATTTTGATATTCTAGTGCTTGTGTGTGTGGGTGTATCGTTTACTAAGTGTAAAGGCCTTATTTCTAGAATAATGGCTGTTTTTTCACTGTGTTAGATGACGCGACTCGTCTTCCACTTGTTGGACTCGTATCACATATTTTTCTCTGTGTTATTAGATTATTGTTTATGTTCTGTCAACTGAAAGGTTTATAGACAAGGCGAGTGAAATACTGAACACGAAGTACTTAAGTAAAAGCTTTCGTTAGACGAGTTTTTAAATATGTGCATAACTCATTATCAGTTACTTGAAATGGCTCTAAATCTGTACATAGGAATCCTGTGAATCGTAAGGCAGATATTTCTGTAACATCAACGTATTTCTCTCCAATAAAAAAGTACTTTACTTAACCACGCGTAGTACCTTTGTTATTGTTCGACAGCGGAAGTCACGTGAGGCTGGTAACACGTGATGAGTTTCTAGAAGGATCGGGGGATATCACGAATAATCCAGTATTTACTAAACGCCCTCTTTTCCTGTATATAAGCGCGCCAGATAAAGCGAGACGATTATTCGGAATTGGATAGCAGATAGAGAGATAGAGACAGATAATTGAGTCAATTGAGCGGTAGTGACCGTAAGTAAAATGCGTGAATCGTTGTGAATTATAGCGTGTGTTTAAGTTAAAGTGACTGTGGAAATTAAGTGTATTACAAAGTTTGTAACCAGAGAGAATAAACTAGTTTTAATTAAGAAAGGACTCGTATCGTTGAAGTTTCTCGGAAAGAATTTTTACGGGAAATTATCAAACGAGCAGATACGTAACATTATGTCTTAGTTCAGCGATTCTCAGTCTATGATTCGTAAGCGCCTTTCAGATAGTTCGTAGAAAGGTTGAATAATTACGGAGAGTAAACAGCGGCGTAGTGATTTCATTGTGGTCTGTCGATATATATTGTTACGTCTCCGTTCGTTAGTTAATTTTCCGTAAATTCGTTCCGACGAAACTTTAGCGACACAAGTCCTTTCTTAAATAAAACTGGTTTATTTTTTCTGAATATAACTTTGCGATACACTTAATTTCAACAGTCGCGCTATAACAAACGTTATGACTCACGTCTCACGAGCTCGACTTCAACAATACTCCGTTCAATTACTCATTGTTCCGTCACGTTGTGAACGTCTTATATATACCAGACTACCCCCAATCTAGTAGTCTCCCGATAATTCACGAAGAATCGAGAAGGACGTGGCGTGATACTAGTCACGTGACCTCGCTGACACAACAATATATAATGTTACTTTAATATCACTAGATATATATCATTTCCATACCTATGTTATTGTTGTTCTCTCTTTGGACGGGTTCTTTTAAAATATTAGGTGAAGTCCAGTCAATGTGAAGATGACAAATTAGTTTATTTTTCCTGAACGTTTCTACACGCCTGTACACTTTTGTACTTTGTAGGCCTACGTTTACAAATGTCGTTCAAACAGAAATACCACTATAACTATACTAAGACTAATGAATAAACTTTCTGTACATTTCCACAGCTGATCGGACAAGTAACTGCATAAAAGATTTAGCTAACACTGATCCAAATACTTCACTGAAATTGCATACTACCAACAACAAAAACGTGCTGAGTAACTACTAGCTAAAAGCAAAACACTCAAGCAACTCAATAGTCATTCACTGTGTTCTCGTACGTATACCTCTAGCCTAGTTTCTAGACACTTCACAAAATCTCTTGATCACTAAGTTCCCGAATATTCTATTTATGACTTACTTGATCTTATCGTGATATCCCCTCTAGCTAATATAGCTTACAATAATAGCACTCTATAAGACAACATAAAATTTAGAGAACAAAGTGATATGTTAGTCTACCTAGGCCGTCCCAACCATTAACTTAAACTTGAAAAAACAACCAAAGCCAATCCTTATTTATCAAGCCTTCCTTTAAACTACCTTGAATTTACTACATCCACCACATCTGAATGCAACTCATTATAAAGACCACCTACCCTGCTAGAAAAATAAAACTGCATTAGCAGAAGATGGCTCATACCCTGCCAAAATTTATATTTGTGTTCCCTAGTCCTTTCTCATCATTAAGTAAGAAAAAAGATGATTCATCAACATTATCAATTGAGAATCTTAAATACCTCAATCAGAACCACTCAAACTCTTTGTTTATTTGTTTGTTGTTGTTTTTCAAGGGAAAGCAATTCAGAGATCTTACCATTTCGCGTATGACAACCTTTTCATTCTAGATACCATCGTAGTACCCTCCTCTAAACCCTTTCCAACAGGTCAATGTCCTTTCTAAGACTGGGCACAGTACCGCCTCAATACTGAAGTATAGATATGTAGATATACTTATAACTTGCAAAGTTTTGTCCAGACTAACATTAAAATTCAGGTTTAAGAAATAATGTGAATACCTTTGAATTATTTAAAAATGGGAGGAGTTTTGAATTGGTTGTGATGGTAACAATAAGCAGTACACTGCCTTAATGGCGACATCCAACGATGAAGCATAAAACTAGCGGTAGCTGTTAGTACTTGCAACGCTGAAATACGGGGTTCGATTCTCCATGGTGGAAAACCTGCATATATCCTATTGTATAGCTGTGCGCCAAAACAAACAAAGTATCGTTTTATCGAATGATTATAAAAACAAAGTAAAAATCTGTGGACGGCGATCATATCGTTTTTATGAACTGAAAGTATTTTATTATAAATAAATAGTTCACTTTTCAGACTGATGTGGCGCTGATGTATGACGCTGTGAAGCTTTTTTCTGCTGCTCTGCGTGACCTTGACAAAACTAACCGAAAGATCGTCGTTCCCGCAATTTCCTGTCAAACAGAACAACCTTGGACTTACGGAAGAGATATTATTAATAAAATGCGACAGGTATATTTTTGTTACTTGCTTTTGGTGTCTTATTATTTTCAGATGTTTTATATTTGGAACTAAAAGGTATGGAAAATAGTATTAACCTCAATTTTGTTTTTTACATTGTCGATAAAAGTGGTAGAAGTGAGAAAAAAGCATTTTTTTTAGATTTTTTTTTAACTTTAATCATACCTCTAGATATATATATATATATCCTATTTTTTTAATGTTGCTTTAGTGTGTAATACTTTATCGAAAATTAAATATTTTCGTCGTCCGTTTCTATGACAAGCACTATTTGGAAGATTATTGAAGATGAGTTATGATGGGTTTTTTTTCGGTATTCCAATTTTAGATCAGCGTCAATGGCTTAACAGGAAACGTGAAATTTGATAAGTACGGTTTCCGTTCGGATTTTAATTTGAAGATTCTACAGCTGACCCAGCAAGGACTGAAAGAGGTACTTAGATCTATAAACAGCAATTAGTGGACAACTTCTAAATTTAATGTATCGTATGCGATTTAAAATTGGTTCGCATAAAGAAAAATATATCACAAAATAGACTTACAAATACGAGACCGATTATGTCCAAAACGAAGTTAGTACACACAAGAAAATAACAGAACTAAACAGTTTTAAACATAGAAAATAGCTGGTGCTTAGTTTCTGTCAGAGTTTACCGAATTCTGTTTGTTTTAACGCTTTCATTTATAATCAGGCTTTGAGAGGTCTATACTTCATGTCCAAGGATTGTTTGTTTGGAATTTCGCACAACGCTACACGAGGGCTATCTGCACTAGCGGTCCCTAATTTAGCAATTTAAGACTAGTGGGAATGCAGCTACATCACCACCCACCGCCAACTCTTGGGCTACTCTTTTACCAACGAATAGTGGGATTGACCGTCACATTATAATGCCCCCACGGCTGAAAGGGCGAGAATGTTTGGTGAGATGGGGATTCGAACCCTCGACCCTCAGACCACCTGACCATGCCGGTCCGTCAGGTTTTTGATCTGACAAATTAGCCAAAGGTCTCTAATCTGACCATTTAACAAAGGGTCTCTAATCTGACCATTTAACAAAGGGTCTCTAATCTGACCATTTAGCCAAAGGTCTCTAATCTGACCATTTAACCAAGAGTATCTAATCTGACCATTTAGCCAAGGGTTTTTGATCTGACCACTTAGCCCAAATTCGCATAAGACACTGTTCGAGCTAAAACTTATAATTTCACACTGTACGTCTTCCAACAAAAAATGTCCAATAACCACAGGAAAAATGTCACCTTGCGGAACCAATTATTTTTACTTCTGTTTCAACAAGCAACAACGTATTTCTCACTCGTGTTTTACGTAGAAATTATGTGAGTTATGTTGGTTGTTCTCCTATTTTTTAAATTTTACTTTTTGTTTCTTTATATGGTTGACTTTGTGACTGGAGCTTCTGCATAAAGAAATCTTAAAATCGAAACATCGAGACAGTAAAATAGTCAGGTCTCTCTGGAGCTACACATAATTTTTTTATACAGAAAAATATGTTTGCACTATACTTCAATTCCTTTTGCGTAATAATAATAACAAAAATATTTATTTAGGGCAGAGGCGTACCTAAAGTATTTGGCACCCGAGGCGGACCATTCCTTTGGACCCCCCCCCATAAATAATTTTAAAATTTAAACACACAGATAATATATTATATTTGCAAGTAGATTTTTAAACAGTACAATATTGTCATAAGCAAACTAGAAATAAGAAAAATGCAGGACATTAAAAATTCAGTGAACAGGTAATACCGCATTTTATTTTCTTCAAAAAACCGCAGAAAATCCAGTCTCAACGCTAAGCCTTTTTATTCAAAGGTAAATAGAGAGGATTTACAGTCCCTACTTTTGAGCCCTAATTTCTGCAAATTGATCAATGACCTCATCAAAATTCACCTTCTTTGCATATTCATGTTCAATTGAAAGTAAAGCCAGATTTGCCAATCTTGTCTGATTCATGGTCGAGAGAAAGAAATTTTTTATCAATTTCAATTTCGAAAAACTTCTTTCATATGAAGCAATAGATACACAGACAGTCAAAAAGAAACTCAAACACAGTGACAAGCTTGGTAGAGATTCACAAAAATTACATTTCAGAATAAACTCCACAAACTGTAATGTTGTCCATTTCTTTGCCTCTTCAACACTGATTTTAGCAGCTTCCAAATGCCTCCGAAGTCGTCCAATTTCCACATTGATATAAGAGAATTCATCGAAAATCTGCGTCAAATTTGGAATATACTTCCGAAGTTCTTCTTCTGTTGCAACAACCAAAGTGTTTGGCTGAATAACAGCGAAGATTGACATAATTTAATCCATTGTCTCAGAAGAGGGACCACCATTCATGAACACGAGTTTCTATAACATCAGACGATGCATTTATAAACACTTAAACATCACATACCACATTGTCAAAAATTACTGGACATTCGTTTAAGTACCATGATATTGTTATAAACACTACCACTTTATGCTCTATCATAATTATTTAATGAAACATACCTCATGTATGTAGAGTCAGAGTGTCAAGTGCACTAGTCTTGGAATGTTAGTTGCACCCGGCTGGCTATGCTCAACAAACTGATGACTGAAGGTCAACAAGCGTTCGCCTTTCGATGTAATTTTTATCAAATATTTAATTTTTCGTTTGAAAATTTTGTATTGCCAATAAAAATGTATTTTATAGTGGAAATTAACATTAAGTTGTTGTAATAGTTTTAACATTTTTTTTCTTACTTTGGCGAATTTTTCATTTGGTTTGAAAACTTGTACTGGTATTTCAACTCTTCCGATGGTGCTCCCCTCTCATCCCCCTTAGTACGCTACTGACTTAGGGTCATATCATTCAGAATCAAACGTCGGTTTCGTGAAGTCGAGATTCAATCAAATATTTCCTACTTCTATTCACCTACAATATGGCTTTGGTTATCCAATCAAACTCGAGCATATATATTTTGTAATGTCTCAGAACCAATCAATTTCTGCCTTGGTTCTCATTTATCTAAAGCATTATAAGACTAATACCTGAACCAGATAGCGATTGGTCAAACGGGATGATAAAAGATGTTATTACCCAGTATATTTTGTATATCAACTCCCCACTCCCTAAACCCAAGTCGGAGGTATTAGGTATTTTCTTACGCCAGGTTTCTTAAATTATATTATATTACTGATTACTGACTGTTTGCTGTTGATTCAAGTTTGGAAATTGTTTCTTTTAGATTGGGAAGTGGAGGCCACGATCAGGAATTAACATGACAGGGAACTTTTCCAAGGCTTATGAAGAAGCCATACAGTCGCTGAAGAATAAGACACTTATCGTGACAACCCTTCTTGTAAGTTAGGTGATTATTTTTAATTACTTTCATAAGATGCATTAAAAATATGTGCTATCTTAAAACTGCATATCATAGAGTGCACAAAATGTTAGGAACTGAGTAAGACAGTTTAAATAAATCGCTGGCACATCTGTCAGGCTAGGCTGATATGTTAATATGAAAGCAATGAAACCCAGTAATCAGGAAGAAGAATTTATTAAAACCACTTCATTAGGAGCAGTGGTGAAATTTCTTTAAAGAAGTACAGGTATTTACCTTTAACAGGACCTGGCCTCACTGTGTATCTACTATAAAGTTAAGTACAGGTATTTACCTTTACCAGGACCTGGCCTCACTGTATATGTATTATGAAGTTAAGTACAGGTATTTACCTTTAACAGGACCTGGCCTCACTGTGTATGTATTATAAAGTTAAGTACAGGTATTTACCTTTAACAGAACCTGGCCTCACTGTGTATGTATTATAAAGTTAAGTACAGGTATTCACCTTTACCAGGACTTGGCCTCACAGTGTATCTATTATAAAGTTAAGTACAGGTATTTACTTTTAACAGGACCTGGCCTCACTGTGTATGTATTATAAAGTTAAGTACAGGTATTTACCTTTAACAGGACCTGGCCTCACTGTGTATGTATTATAAAGTTAAGTACAGGTATTCACCTTTACCAGGACTTGGCCTCACTGTGTATCTATTATAAAGTTAAGTACAGGTATTCACCTTTACTAGGACCTGGCCTCACTGTGTGTCTACTATAAAGTTAAGTACAGGTATTCACCTTTACTAGGACTTGGCCTCACTGTGTATCTACTATAAAGTTAAGTACAGGTATTCACCTTTACTAGGACTTGGCCTCACTGTGTATCTACTATAAAGTTAAGTACAGGTATTCACCTTTAACAGGACCTGGCCTCACAGTGTATCTACTATAAAGTTAAGTACAGGTATTCACCTTTAACAGGACCTGGCCTCACAGTGTATCTACTATAAAGTTAAGTTCAGGTATTCACCTTTAACAGGACCTGGCCTCACAGTGTATCTACTATAAAGTTAAGTACAGGTATTCACCTTTAACAGGACCTGGCCTCACAGTGTATCTACTATAATGTTAAGTACAGGTATTCACCTTTAACAGGATCTGGCCTCACTGTATATTTAGTGTAAAGTTTTCTGGAAGTTAACTGCCCCCTTTTTGCCCTACACAATTGAACTGCGAGAAAATAGAAAATTACAGAATTCTGTACGGGTTTTTAAAAGAGAAACGGTGTTTCACTTGTTGGTATTCCAAAAAGAACCGGTACTGAACAACAGTTTTGTGAAGTATTCAAACCCCCTTAATAGTAATGGAAGTTCTAGACAGATATTAGGTTGAATTCAATACAAAAACCTCTATACAAAGATTACTAAAGTATGATCACTGTTGAGGCTGGAAATGACAATTTGAAATTAATTTTTTTGCGATTTTAATATAATTGATGTTTACATGTAAACGTGTGTATTCTATTAACGTCAAAAACACTGGAATTTTACTTGACTTTAATATTCTCAATATCATAAATTATGTAATACATAGATTTAATAATGTTCAGAAACGTTATTCCGAAGATTATTGTCTATAATGCAACGTAATTATCTTTTATTGCTTATATTTTTATTCTATATTTGATGGAAGTCTAATAGAAGTGTTTCGTCTAGAGCGCCCCCTACATTATACTTAAAGAAGATCGTAATAAAGCTCTGACAGGGAATGATCGATATGATGGTTACTGTATGGACTTGATTCGAGAGATTTCAAAGATTCGAGGATTCAAATACGAGATCAAAGAAGTAGGAGATAAAACTTATGGGAAAAAGAACAAGCATGGAGAATGGAATGGGATGATTCGAGAGCTCATAGATGGGGTAAGGATAAATCTTCAATCTCATTCTTTACCAAGCTCATGTACTGTCTGGCTGACATATTATTACATATTCTCAGGCTTAGGGAGTCTTACCAAGCTCCTACACTGTCTGGCTGACATATTATTACATATTCTCAGGCTTAGGGAGCCTTACCAAGCTCCTATACTGTCTGGCTGACATATTATTACATATTCTCAGGCTTAGGGAGCTTACCAAGCTCCTATACTGTCTGGTTGACATATTATTACATATTCTCAGGCTTAGGGAGCCTTACCAAGCTCCTATACTCTCTGGCTGACATGTTATTCCATATTCTCAGGGTAAGAGAACCTTACCAAGCTCCTATACTGTCTGGCTGACGTATTATTACATATTCCCAGGCTAAGGGAGCCTTACCAAGCTCATATACTGTCTGGCTGACATATTATTACATATTCTCAGGGTAAGAGAACCTTACCAAGCTCCTATACTATCTGGCTGACATATTATTATTGTATATTCTCAGGGTAAGGGAGCCTTACGAAGCTCCTACACTGTCTGGCTGACATGTTATTATTGTATATTCTCCTTTGCTTTCACTCATATGTTATTCGAAATATTTTATCCCATTGGAGTCTGAATCTGATAAACTTAGTCAATCTCGAAACCAACCTTACCAAGTAACATTATCGTTATGACTCTCTATTACTGCCTCAGTTACTGTTTAAATTCGTTAAATCTTCTACTATTTGTAACACACTTTTTTGTTCTTGATTTAACTTGACATCTCAGTAGCTATAGTATCACTGCAAACCAAACCTGTAACAACAGTATATTTTATAGTTTGTTTGTTTGTTATGGATTTCGCGCAAAGATACACGAGGGCTATCTGCGCTAGCCGTCCCTAATTTAGCAGTGTAAGACTAGAGGGAAG